CAGTATAGCTACTAAATTACTTCAAGGTTCAGTGTGTAAGATTTAGGTGAAAGGGATTTTTGGCAGAAATTGAATATAAAATAATTCTATTGATGTTTTCACTGGTGTGTTTCATCTAAATTGTATGAATTGTTGTTTTCTTTACCATAGAATGGGCCCTTTATATTTAAAAACTTTATATTTACATGAAGGGGGTCCTCTCTGTGGAGGCCACCATGTTTTTTTACTGTCGTCCAAACTGGACAAACTAAAATCTTTTGAGTTTTCATAACAACTGAAGTTCACTGCAGGTTCTCTTTCATGTTTGGAAGGGAAGGGTTAGATGAGGAGTATTCAGCTGCAACATGAAACTTCACCTCTAGATGTCACTGAATTCTACCTTTAACCATCTTATGTTACTTTTTACATATTGGCTAATGAAAAAAAATTTAAGTAATTGTGGGAACTGTAGCAATTAAGAAAAGATCATGTAAACAATTTTGTTAAATTTGAACATTTTAAGAAAGAAACCATCTACAGGTAAAAAGTAACCACTATGGCAAATCCATTAAATGAATACATGACAATCAAAGTACTTGCAGTACAATGCAGTCAGCTATTCAGATAATAATGAACCATCTTTAATCACAAGTACATGCAGTACTGTACATAATAGTACACCAAGTGTTGCAAGAGAAAAGTTTTGAATTACTGACACTAATGTGAATGCATTCTCTGACACTTACTAGGTTTAAACCAAACGAAGGTGTGATCATCATTGGAGCAACAAACTTCCCAGAGGCTTTGGATAAGTATGTTCACCTCGGTGTCTCTTGAGATAAAATGTCAAAACTTACCCTGCACTTGTAGAAAGGTCAAAGTCTACAACTGTCAGAGTCACAGTTCTCAATAACAAAGAATGAACTACAGCTTTGAGTTATATGCTGGTACAGGATCAGTATTTTTCCTAACAAGCTTATCTCCTTTTTCTCAGCGCCCTGGTCCGCCCAGGACGTTTTGACATGCAGGTGACTGTCCCCAAACCAGATGTGAAAGGACGCACAGAGATTCTCAACTGGTACCTGAAGAAGATTAAAGTAGATCCAGGTGTGAAATAAGCAAATAATATAAGCCAAAATATATTTTACTCAAATGTGTAATTATAGTACTGTTTACATCAAAGGCTTAACATTTAAAGATATTTATTAGATATTTGCTCTGATTCTGTAAAACATAATAACAAAGTCTGATTCCCAGAATAAGCAGGTTTAGACAACTGTGAGAGCTGTGTGAGTGTTGTGTTTTGTCTGTGCAGCTATTGAGGCCAATATTATTGCCCGGGGCACGGTGGGCTTCTCGGGCGCTGACCTGGAGAATCTGGTCAACCAGGCGGCCCTGAAGGCAGCAGTGGATGGCAAAGACATGGTCTCTATGAAGGAGTTGGAGTTTGCTAAAGACAAAATCCTCATGGGTGAGAAACTCTTTGCCAGTTGGTTCAGACGAGCAGCACCACTTTTTCTTTCAGTGTTTTTTGCATAGTGTTAGCTTACTTTTTTGTACCTTCGCTGTCTTCCTCTTTATCTGTTTGACACTTAATGTTTGTTGTCCCTGTCCTTGCGCAAGGAAGCACCAAAAATTACTTTATTTCCGCTGGTGCATGGTGTAATTTCTGCAGAGGAATAGGATCCACAAACATTAATGAACCCTCATTAATATGTCAATGAGGGAGCACAGAGATGTGCCCATCACTCAGATGGCTCCTGGAGGGATATTGCAGAATTTTGTTAAAGATGAGGCATCTGTTTGAAACTATGGAACAACCTCAATGGATGGATTTTGCATGCAAAGAAGTGCGCACAAGCCCAAAGTGTTGCTCCTGGAGGAAACAATTCAGTGCTAAACCATTTTGTTTGTGTTTCCTCTTTACCTTTTTCCTGTGTTGTTGTATATTTCTCAGTGCGACACCTATCGTTTAAAGAAAGCCTGCACCGAGTCGCCACGCCTCAAGTATAAAAATGAAAGGCTTTGTGTCGATGTCAAAGCAACATGCAATGACCAATCCATTAAGCATAACCACTTCTTTAACCCTTCTGTTCTCTTTACTTTAAGGCCCTGAGAGGAGGAGTGCAGAAATAGACCAGAAGAATAAGCGCATCACAGCGTTCCATGAATCAGGCCATGCAATCGTTGCTTACTACACCAAAGATGCCATGCCAATCAACAAGGCTACTATCATGCCCAGGGGCCCAAGTCTGGGACATGTAAGGAAGCCTGGAGCTTGTATTTTTCTTACATTTTAACACTGGATGTTTGACTTATAAACCATTTCTGGTGCAAAATCTTTTATCATTTTTCTCTCCAGGTGTCAATGCTTCCAGAGAATGATCGCTGGAGTGAGACTCGCTCTCAGTTACTGGCCCAGATGGACGTCAGTATGGGTGGACGTGTAGCAGAGGAGATTATATTTGGCCAGGAGAACATCACAACAGGTAAGAAATGTATTTTAATAAAATGTTTTGGTTCAGAGGGTAAAAAATGCCCAAAAAATAGTCAAAGTTTTTCCTGGAGGAAAATGTGTGCAGCAGGATGAATTTTGAAAAAGGCAGGATAAGTAGTTATATACATGTCATGTCTTCCTGTACAGGAGCATCAAGTGACTTTGACAGTGCGACCAAGATCGCTAAGATGATGGTGACCAGATTTGGAATGAGTGAAAAGGTACGCGACTAAACAGAAACATAAAAAGGAAAGACTGTTTACATTATATTCAGTTTTTGATAGAATTTAACATTTATTAGTGCATTGACTTACCTCTTTGTCTCCCAGTTGGGTGTGATGACCTACACTGACGTGACACGGCAGAGCCCAGAGACACAAGCTGCTGTGGAGCAAGAAGTCAGGCTGTTACTGAAGGTCAAAATCTGTCATAGAGTAACTCAATATGAAAAACCATCTCGGCTCCTGTAGTAATATTTTAGTGTCTTTTCTCTTGCTTTACTGCAGGAGTCATACGAGCGTGCTAAAGCCCTGCTGAAGTCTCACGCCAAGGAGCACAAGAACCTGGCGGATGCTCTGCTCATGTATGAAACACTGGATGCCAAAGATATCCAGCTGGTCCTGGAGGGCAAGGCCCTGGATGCGAGATGAAAGCAGCAAGGATAGCAACAATCGCAGGGAAGCAACAGGGAAGGGGGTCATATTTACAAGCTCAGGCATTAAGGAGGGAGGAATGGACTCAGTTCTTGAGCAATGAACCAGAGAAGTAAGAAGTCTTCATGTAGGACACTTTCATCTCTTCATGCTGTCTGTCACCTTCATGGAATCTTATCAATATTCCCAGAAAGTTTTTTAGTTTGAAATTCAAACATGACTTTCTTGTGTTCAGAGGTAAGCAGATGTATGAAGCACACGTTCATTGTATGAGAAGGTCAAATGTCCAATTTTAAGGATGTTGCTCAGGTCACTTTATCAGCTGGTGTAAGGAAATACTACAATATGTAAATATGCACCGAAAAAAGTCTATGGATTTATAATTTGGTAAAATTCTGTTCAGCAAGGTCTATATAGCTTCTCATGTCAGTGGGAAATGCTGAGCAGCAAATACCACTATTCCAAAAAGCTACTTTAAAGCAACACCATATAACTTACTGAGCAACAGCGCCCTCTACAGCCACATGTGGTGAGTATGTGGTATGTATGTGGGCTCTGTCCAAGAGATTAAGAGGTTTTCATGTTGAGGAAAGCACAAAGTCTAACAACTGAACGGTGGATATTCCTCATGATCCCCAGTTTCAGGAACCAGAAGAGCTGCCCCTGTAACAAATACACCAAACTCTGTTCAGAGTTCTTATTATTGGAGATAAATGCTCTTTTTTAATGACCTTTAAGTCTTTTCAGCGGATCTACAGTTCAGCATTACTCTTGAACTTGCTGGGCCTGATTCTGGCTGTTTAAGTTGTGACTATCAGTCACTTACACAATCCCCACAGGAGATAGTACCTGCTCATCAGAGTTACATAGAGCAAGACCAAACTTTCAGGGAGAGGATGAGTGGGAATGAAAGTGAAAATGTGAAGCTGATATATAAGGTACAAGTTACATAAGTTACATAGTGTTGCTTTAACTCAGTTGATTAATGTCAGGCTGTATCTCCTACTTTAGCTTGTTTAATTCTCAAGTTAGTACCTAGAATTGTGACTTTTCCATCAAGTCCATAGTGTCTGGGATGTTTGACAAGATCATACATACATTCTCCTGTCCTCCTCTTTCCCTCTGCTCCCTGTTGCTGAAAGGTGGCCTTTTGGAGGAATGTACTGTTAAGTGTATATTTTTTCCTTTTTGAAGTAGAAAGTGTAAAAAGAGAAAACTACAACATCACAGCACTTTGGGTAAGTGAACAAAATCGAAAACACACTTGTGCAATCTTCATGTAATTTATTTCATCCATGCTGTGTATTCAGATCGAACAGAAACTGCTGCTCTAAAAAGCTTTCAAGAAATACATGCTGCACTTAGTTAGAGATAGAGCATCGGGATTGGATTCTTTAGGATTTTATACTTGATGTTGGCCTAATTTATCAAAAAACTCTGAGTCTCAGTGGGGTTGGCCAGTTCTATCAGTCACAGTATTGTACATTGCTGTCTTTGAACAATGTGAAACAAACGTGAAGCTGTAATGAGTACAGATGTCCTTGATTCTAAATGTGACATTTCAACACAAGTTGTAGATAGAAACTTGGAGATATGTTTCAATTAAAATATTGAACATTTCATTTTTAATAGAATAGTTGAATCAGCAGCAGTGTAAGTCGTCCTTTATTATATGTTGCAGAGCAGGAAGTATATACAGCTGTTATCACCACCAGCATGTAATTTTATTAT